TTACTTTATACTGTTCATATTTTCAACCTTTTTGTAGATTTTTTTTCTTTCTCCTTTCAATTATTTGACAAGTTAACACATTTCTTTATTTTCTATGTCAAGAAAATAAATAATGCATGTTTTTTCGTTTGGTCCACCATTTGGCATTATGAGGTTGGCAACAATAAATGGAGATGATCTTTTGTGTTTCTCCATTGCAAAATCTAGCATAAATATTACTCAAAAGTATTGGTTTGTTAACCTAATTATGAGAAACTATTCGAACCAACAAAACTATATATGTATCCTTCTAACCCCGTTTATTCCCTTTTAGATTATAGTTACATGATACGTTTGTGGCCACATATTTTTAGAAATAATATATACATATATATATATATATATATATATATATTAAGAAATAATATATCTTCGTTTTGGAATCGATTTAACACGTTAAATATGGGACAAGAACTTTTTTTTTTTGATAAAGATATGGGACAAGAACTTGCATGGTTGATGTACAATAATCTAATATTTGACGTCACGTAGTGAACGAAAGCATACATATGAACGTCAAACCTAGGTTACGGCCTTAAAGTACTGCTGCGTACTAGACAAAGCTCAACAATTTAGGTTCTATTTTTCAACACAGCACACAACAAGTACTCATTGCTTGCCCGCTTGGTCCATGCTTCTTTAGACCCATACTTTCTCCAGTTTTATGCATACTCTTCTTTTGAATAATGAGTGATATTAGTTAAACAAAAAAAAAAAGAATAATGAGTGATATCATTCTCTCACACGTTTCTCAAGTTTTGTTGGTCCGTCTACAGTATCTGGCTTACACAAATCGTTCTGACCAACAGCCGCTCGCATTTTAGAAGCGGTAATTAACAGGTAAAGCTACTATATGGTCCATGTATTCTTGTTGTGTTATAATGAGAGTTGGTCTAGTTCAGTGGTTCTCCTTAATGTTGGATATCCATTATTAAATGTGATGGTGATGGGTCATGTGTGATGTAAGTTTTTACGGGTCTTTGGTGATATAAGTTCAAATGTAAAGATAAATATTTAGGAGGATCTATCTGAGTACAGGGAGCATCTAATCTTCAGACTCTCACAGAGCATCTAACTTTACAAATCTTATTACTGGTCTTTTTGTACTTACAAGTTACAACTTACAACAATAACTTTTTAGTCTTTGTTTATTTTTAAAATTTTTTGTTGTTGTCTGCTGCCCATTTACGGAGTCTTTGTTTATTATCCTTCACAGATTCTATACTCAGCATTGGAACCCAAAAGAAAGTGCCGAGGAGATCAGAGTTCTACAGAAAGAGGGGTTCTTTTACAAATATAATGATAACTGTAGTAGTTAAAGAGCAACAAATATGGTAAAAATAAATTATTAAAAGTGATTTTAAATGTTAAAATATTAAAGACTGAAATATGAGCAGTGCAGTTATTGGAACACAACAAAAGATGTGACACTTCAAGGGAACTAGCTGGCTGGTGTCGGCAGATGTGGAAGCAAGACTGCAAATAATTTAGTACTCTTTTTAATTGGTTAAACCTCCTTTCTCTTGTTTACAAGTAAAAATTATTATAACAAAAAAAAATTGTTTAAATATGTATGGCTTTCGATTTGTTTGATTGATTTTTCAAATTAAAGCTTAAACAAAAAATCAACATTTGTTTTCTGTTAAGAAATGAAGATGGTGGTTGGGACATATCCGGAAATGGACCAGACCACATCAGTACCATACCAGGCGGCCAAGCATCAGTCACTATCCTCCCTTGTATTTATCCATATGTTGTAGTTATCCTAATCATTATAGAATTAGGATAATCATCCCCTTTATTATTGTAATCCTTATCTCCTAAGGAATATGCTTATTCTCTTGTATGTATATATATGTATGTGCACGTGATGAATAAGATATACAGAGTTACAACCTTCTTCTTTATTCCACAACACGTTATCAGCACGAGCCCTAACCCTAAGCTAAAAATCCGTAGCTCTCTCTCTCTCTCTAGGCGGCTGCAGAAACCCTAATCTCAGACCCAACTTCAAAGCGACGTATCTCCCAAACCCTGTGTACCCAGACGACGATCTACATACCAAACTGAAGCTCTGGAAGAGAGGAATCCAGCAGATCAAACGGCGCGTCAATCAGACATCAGAATCAACCGGAATCACCAAAACA